AATGTATAGTTATACAGAATTTTATATTCAAGACCTTAGGGAATAAATGTCTCACAAAAGCAAAATCATGGAAAACTACACAACAGAAATAAGTCACAATTTTGTTCAGCTACATTCACAGAACTGACCAAAGTGATATCTATTTCTATGGATTGTTTTTTTAATTTACCAGGTAATGTGGAATTATGAATAAACAATGCTTGGCAGAATATGCTAATGATTTGAAACCACATCGTAGTCCCTGTAGGGAAGTTCACACACCCTGAGAAAACCCCTCCAGCTTGCGAAATGTCACTGACTAGAATGTATATGACGGTTGGGGTCAGAGTCACCTAAGAATTAGTTTAGCAGGCGATGGAAAAAATGATTGTTTCTTTCTTTTTCCATGTCTGCATTATCCTTTACTCTCTTCTCCCTCCATTATCACCATTACATGAACTAAAAAAAAAACGAAAACAAAAACCCGTTACCTAGGGATCTCTATGTGGTCACTGTACATCCTCTGCCTGCCTCTGAGCTGAGGGAAAAAACAAGTATGACCCTTCAACTAATGCCCTTTACTGCCAAAGGGAACCTCTGGTTGTACATTCTGGTAAATCTGAGTACAGTAATCATATTCGAATCCTTAGTTTAGAAATGGATGAACCTCATAAGGCAAAGGCTTGAGAAGGCCAAAATGGAATCTTTGTAGAAAACTTTTGTCTCCGAGGCTGAGTTTGTGGAATGTGAAGGCTTCAAGGGTGGTGTCAGTGGTTTGAGAGAGGGCGAAGTGAAAGGCGTTCACAGCTACTGCACGCCACAGGATCTCCCCCAGCCCGACACTGAGCCTGTTCCTGCCCTGGTCTGTGTAGTGATGGCGCAGGCTTTATTCTTTCCACCCCCAACAACTAAGGAGTGGGGTGTCCAGGGCTGTGCATTTTCCTAGTTACTTTTATGTTATTCACAGCAGTTGTACCCTCATCAAAGTGATCTGTAACCTCAGCCCTTTATTGCCTTGATACTCAGCTGCTTAGAATGATTTTGCTCATAGCCTCCATAACGGAAAACCAGCCTGGTGAAAAGTAGATCTGTGCTAAGCCTTGCTGGGAGAGTGAACTTAATGAAGTTTCCAATAAGAATTTTAAAAAGACTTTTGAATTTAGCCTTGTTACACACCTGTGACATACTATAACATATCTGACGGTATTCTTCTTTTAAAAAATTGTTTTTTTAACTCATCTTTTAAACTATACATTATTTACACTTTTAAAGACCTACTAGGTCTTTATCCTTTGGGCAAGAGTTCAAGGTGATTAAACTCCCAGGACAAAGATGAGGCTTTCCAAAAGGCGCTGGTTCTCATCTATTGTGCTAAGGCCTATTTTTACAAACAAATTGCTGTTATAAACTTTTAAAATACAAAGTTAGAATATTTCTTTAAAAATTTTTCCTATTAATTTTCTTGTTTGCATCCAGCATATGAAAAACAGATTATGCTCCCTAACTAGAGATGAAACTAAAAGAAGTGAAATTAATGTGTCCCCACACTATTTTCATCTGAAAACAAGGGTTTATTTACATGGCATCTTTTTTCAATGTAGGGGTGAGCCATGAGGGGCAGGGGCATCGCTACAGCATGGATAAATAACCAGCTGGAGACCCCTTCATTCTCACTTGAGTGCTTATTGCATGTTTTAGGTGCAGCTGTAAGGCATGAGAAAGGCGGCCTGCGACTTTTACACGTTCAAGAAATTTTCCTTAAGAAATGCCACGTTTGGAATAGCTTCCAGAGATTGTTCAAAAACAAAAAAGTATTAAAGCTCATGCATTACATTTAGAAGCACAATATATTGGGGAAACATTTTCAAAAGCTCAAAAAAAGGCTGTTTTTCCATAATAAAGTCAGAATTTTGTTGTATATAGGTGTGTGTTCAGGGCTTTTAACAGGCACATCCTTCCACAATTAACAGCCAAATCAGCATTCCTGGCCCCTGACCTATAAATAAACATTCTGGTTCTGCAACTTGTTCTCACATTGAACAAGCTCTTCTAAAACAAAAAGGCCTACAAATTGGTTAAAAATCTGTAAACCAAAAATGCAATATGTTTGTCCTCTTTCAATAAGCAAAAAGTTTGTATCAGCTTTCTGGAAAGCGACTCAGAAGAACTTACACCCATTTTCACATTTAAGAAACAGTTATTCATAACATTGACAAAATAAAATCTTCAATAGGAAGGCACGTGGCCTCACAAAGGAGTAGGGTAGTTCTCAGCTTCAACCAATGAATACTTTCTTTTCAGCTTGTCTAGGTGTGTTTGCTTTTTGTCAGGCAATATATGTCAGAATATTGTCAATCTTTTGAGAAAGTGATTCAAAAGGTAATTTGCAATTGGATGGTGCTATCCCTAATGCCTTTTTGCCTTATGCCCTCATTTTATGGACACAAATTAAGGACATTAAGCCAAAGGTAAGTGCACCACTCAAAATATACCTGGGCACTAGTGCTCAGGTCAAAAGCTATAGGACGTGCCAAACACAATTCCTCACCTGACTATTTGAGCACTAACAGCAGGGGCACTCACATGCCTTTCTAAGGACCAAATGTAAAACTCAGGCGAAACTGTCCATAGTTGCATTTGCTGTTCCATTTAGGCTGATCAAATCTAATTCTTGCTTTCCCCTTCTCATGCCTTCTGCTGTCTTTTTTACATCTGGTACTTTTTCTTTATAATTTCCTCCATTTTTCTAACATACGTTTCATAGATTATAACACAAAGATCTTAAAGGAGTAAAAAGGCTAAAGAACATTAATCTTTGGAGATTTAGGCATTTAAGCTTGCATATTTTTAAACTTATGCTATGGAATTTGGACATTTAATGACATCACAATTTAGGCACTTTGTATGAACCTTACTTCATAATTATATGAACATTATAAACCTTCCAAAAGTGATTGTTATTATTGTCTTTGTCAACTAGTAGTGATGATACATCTTTCAACCTCTTCTATGTGCATATATGCCTGCTATCCCTTCACCTGAATTCACATGAAATTTTCTAGTTATTCTGAACCATAAAATTCACAAAGACCTAGGAGCAGACAGAAACAAAAAGAAAAAGAAGGAAATTGATTGTGGGTAAGTAGCATGCTAATTGAAACAAGATCGTTTGCTAATAGAAAGGGGAAAAGAACCAAACTCAGTGTCTTGGAACATTCTGCTTATGGCAAGGATCAGAGTTTGATCCCTGGCCTGAGGGCCTTTCTGGTGCTCCTACCCTTGTTCTATCCACAGACAAAGGGTAGCGGCTGTGACAATGTGATGGATCCTCTGCCAAGGTCTAACATGCAGTGGATGCTCAGTGGTCACTAAAGGGATCACATGAACCAGTGGATGAAAATCAACTCAAAGATGCTGACAGAGTGAAGTCAGCTGTGGCAGAATTCAACAGATGCACAGTCCAAGATGATAAAAATTAAGTACCTGGTAACATTTGGTGTAAGACTTTATAATCCAAATCCAAGGATAGCCATATCTTACTTCACTCTATTTTACAATTATATATATATATATATATATATATATATATATATATATACACCTTTTCTCTCTCCAATTAGTGTTTGTGCTTTGCTGGACACCATAGCCATGCAAACTAGTAAACACTCACAGTCAAGCACACAGAAATCTCCACATTCTAATGCCAGTTTGAAAACAATTCTGTTGCCTTGACCTTATGGAATAGCCTTGAAATGACCATAGCTCCTACCATAACTGTTTTCTGCTATAGCTTTGTACAGGTTAACTAAATAAAGTTATGAAGAAATTTGAAGACAAAAATCCCTGTTTTTAATTGCTATTAGCCCTCAGATTCAGCACCAAATCATAAAAAAAAATAAAAATCAGCTTCATCCCCAAATTTTGCATTCTTAGAAATCATTGCCCTGAAATAGCATAATGAATTAGGCTAAACAGTTTTTGACTGCAAGCACTTTCAGGCAGGATTTATGAATGGAGACATGTGAGCCACTCTGGCCAGCTTTGAAGCCCCATACTTTCTTCCTGGGCTATTTATAGAAAGTGGATAGCCAGTGGAAAAGAGCACATTTATTTTTACAAGCCAGTCATGACATGACCAAAGAACTCACTTCCTCTCTCTGGGAAGGTCATCTTCTTTAGCTGAGGGTGCAGCTACAAGGACGGGGAAGAAAGGGACCCCTTTAGTCAACTGACTCAGCCTGAGTCAATCCCAGAGACCAACCCCACAGGGTGACAGGCATTGCAGTCAACACTCTCATTTCCCAGGCATGACTCTAAGTCTCTAGCTCCTTGAGATGTCATCTTGATGATGACTAACAAGTAAAAATACCATGTATTACATAATATGCTCCAAAATTCTATGCTTTCAAAATAGGTTGTACAGAGATGATGAAGTGCATTCTTACTTATCATTTGTCCCACATTTCAAACAACTGAATACAATAAAGAAAAAGTGAATTTTCAAGGATGTGGCAAAATGGAGAGTGTGAAAAATATTGTTAAAGCTATTTTATTCTGATGACCATGTAACCCCTGAAATATGTAATGTGCCTGGACAGTTCCATGCAAATTTGGATACTTAGTAAATATTTCCTGATTCTAAAATATCATCATGTATCTTGACAGAATCAGATATACTTCAGCACATACATAATTTTACAAACATGCCTGGTCTGTGTAGTGTACATGGTATCTACTTGCAAACATGAAGTGAAGTGAAACCACTATTTTCAACTAGAATGCCCTTTTGCCCATGTTATGTGTGGTATATAGAAACTAAGATAGGATGGGGAAGGGAAAGTAGGGGAAGGAAAAGGCAAAAGGAAGGAAAGTGAGTCCTCATTCTCTCTGACCGGGCTCAGGCATCAGAATCATTTGAAAATGATATGGGTATAATTTTATCCTTAAGTGGCTTCTGCTTAAGGACAAAGACACAGGGCAAGAAGAGAATTCTGTTTGCAGACCAAGATCTCCAACAAAAATTTTAAGTGACAAATGCAAGGTTTATTTTTGTTCTCAAACTCATTAATCCTTTTGAGAATGTCTTTCAGAAAGTTCCTTCTGAAAGAGGGGAGGTCCCATTTTACAAGGAAGCTATGAAATACTCATCAACCTATGTCTCTAGCTTCCAAAGCAACATTCTTTGAGGCTCTAGAAGAAACAATAATGGCATGCAAATAAACTTGGAGGTGGAAATATCCCGATCTCCACAATTGCCTTTGAATGCATGTACTGAATAAGTTACAGGTGAAGCATGACATCCGTAGTAGGCACAAATTCTCAGCCTCTGTACCCTAATGGGAATCTCCTTGCATTTTGCAAAAGACATGACAGTGACACCCATCTGCAAACGTGCAAAGTATATTTACAATCCCATTAAGAGGCTTTAAATTAAATACAGACATATATAAGGTTAAGCTCTGTGTACAAATTAACACACAAGCATACTGGTTCCTCCAGGGAACTGTGTCAAGCCTCTCGGTTTATAAATATAGTAGCGATTAAAAGCACAAACAAAAACAGAAATATTTTTAGGAGCATCAACCTACCAGTACTGAGGTAAGTGTTCATATAGTTTATGTGCTTGATCTAAATTATACCATGAAGTCAAGACTTCCCATTCAATGACTTATTTGGCTCTTAACCAAAGGACTTGTCAAGAAGTATATAGGTATTTAAAATAAGCTACCTCAGTGATCTGTGTTAATCTACGGTTGCCACCTGCAGTACAGGTTAGCATTTAAAACAAATGTCTTAAATAACATTGGCCAATGTGATTGTTAAAAAAGGATCTCAGGAGCATGTTCACTCATTTCTTCATAATTTAGGATGACTGTTCATTACCACAGTCTACATGTAAATGAGAACTTCAGTGTTTAAATAGGCAAAGGTAATCTTATTGAACTTAAAAACTTCAGTTACAATTCAAGTAATATGCTCCTGACTTTCATACTGTATCTGCCTTATCTATTCCTGAGTATTGCGTTTTTAAGCGAGGATAGATGGCATCAGTCTAGAACAGTGTCCTCTCACCTTCCCTGATGGCTGCATTAGGAACCACAGTCATATTAGTGGTTCAGCTCCTTCTCCTAGTAGAGAAGCCAAATGCTCTGTGTCCTGGTAAGCTACTTCCGTGCTGCTCACAGCTTGAAACCAACACCATCTTCCTTCCCTCCTGGGTGGAATGTTAAACCCTGATTTGTAGTAAAGAAACAGTTTACTCCAACTGCACTCCCCTATATTTGAGGACCAGTCATTTGGGCATTGCTTCAAAAGGCACATTTATTCCAGTGGTAATTTAAATAAGTAGAGAAGGAAAGAATAAGATTAAAACAAAACAAAAAACAAAATAGGTTTTGTGGAATACATGAAAGTAAATGGGCATCTGGGATCTACGTGGACCACTGAGCTCCTCACCAGTAGTCTAACCAGAGTCCCTAAGGTGAAGTAATTCACATTTGTATCATGGAACACAGGCCTTCAGGAAACACTGTTTAGGAAAGTACAGTAGTTGAGAACTCTCAAGCAGCTTGCCCTGGTGTCCAGTTAAAGTGTATGCAATGCAGAAGGGCTGCAAAATTCAAAACTACAAGACAAATTAAAATTCAGTGCATATCACAGGCTTGATAAATTAAGAAAAACCATTGTATATATTACTATTTAAATAACATCTGAGAAACATTTTGAAATAATTAAACTCGTGTTCACATTCCATGCATTTTCTAGCAGGTTAAGCCCTGGGCTTATTTATGTCTTTGTGCCCGTTTCCTACAAAGATCCATTCTTTTGAGAAATCCAAGCATTCCTCAGACTGAAATGGAAGTACCCAGGGATTTGGTCTACTTACCCTCTTTAATGTGCACCTGACCTCACAGGGGCTACTTGTTATTACCGCTGGCACAGAAGATCATTGGAAAAGCAAGTTGGGGTTTTATTTGGGATTTTATTCGCTGCCTTTGAAAATTCCCTGGATGTCACAGACATCACCGGAATTTCGTCCACAGGCAAAAACCAGCGGCCCTGTCCTTCCTGCTTGACCCATTTCCCTCTTCCAAAGCCCTAAGTGCATTGAAACCCCCCTGCCATAGCGGACTTTTTTTTTCCCTGTGGCTCTGGAGCAACCTCCTTGAGCAAAGAAGGAAACAACAAAACTGGAAAACAAACCAACAATAGCAACAACAGAAAGTCCAAACAAGTGGGCAAACCAGCAGCCTCCTGCAAAGTAGAGGCTCACTTTTTACTGGAAAATTCAGCGCTGTTTAGGAACTTCTTGATGACCAGCCCCAGACAGACGACCAGCAGCAGCATGTAGCCCACAGTGCCCAAAAACGTGGGTGCAGCAGGTGGCGCCTTGAGGAACTGGCGCAGACCCTCCTCCACATAGTACACCTGGTCGTAGATGCTGAGGAAAGTGAAGATGTGAAAGAGCTGATGGCTGTGGCCAATGATGTCAAAAAGGCCAGGTTGGATGCGCTCAGGGATCTTGCTCACATTGAAGAAGGCGGCCACCACCAGCCAGAAGTAGCGGCGGTAGAAGTGCACAAAGAGCGTGGGGTTCTCGCCACGCAGGTCGAACAGCCAGCTCTCAAGCATGATGGGGCAGGCCATGCTGAGCGGCATGACGAAGACGAAGGTACGCAGCGCGAACGGGTAAGAGCACCAGTCAGTACGGCTCTTGCAGCAGGCCACGGTGCAGGCCACCGCCAGCACGAAGGCAACAGGCAGCACCAGAGCGCGATAGGCAGCGATGAGGCGTGTGCAGTCCACGTGCCAGCCCAGGCGCTGCTGCACGTAAGGGGTCATCACTCTGGCGTCCAACAAGCTCAGGCTGGGTAGCAGGTAATAGTAGTAGGCTACCGTGCTGCCGAAGCCGTAGTAGCTGATGGAGGCATAGTCCAGGTAAAAGAAGGCGGCGCGCAGGCGCAGGGACAGGCAGCTGAACACGTGCGCTGTGCAGCTCATGGCGAAGGTCAGCAGTACGCCGGAGGCATAGCACCACAGCGGCAGCAGCCACGGGTGGTGGAAGGGCACGTCACGGCCGCTCAGAAAGAAAAGGCGGCAGAACTTGCTCAGGAACAGCAGCAGAGGGATGAAGTGTGTCCAGAAGTTGAGCGTCTCGTTGGTGGGCTTCAGCACCGAGGCTAGGCACTCCTGCGCCGTGCAAGGTAGCCGCCGGTAGCCTGACAGTATGAAGCACTCCACGAAGTCGTCGGGCACCTCGTCCCAGCGCAGCAGCGGTTTGGTGGAGGCCGGAGAGTCCCCGGAAGCGGAGGGGTGGGAGCGCGAGGTGGCTGCCAAAGCCGCTGCGGTGGTGGCCTGCGGGCCCTTTGTGCCCGCGCTCCGGGGCTGCAGGCGCCGCGGCATGGTGCCTCGGGCTTGGCTAGGACACGAACAGGCGACCTCTGGCGCCCGCTCCCGCGCGCTCTGCAGCCCCCGCCGGCCGCCGTCGGAGCCTTTGTGCTCGCGCCGAGGGTGTCGTTGCAGGTTCTAGAGAAGACCTGAGCCTCTAAGCAACCGTTCCTAAAAATAAGTAAATAAAAATAATCAGTTTGTAAACAGCCAGCGACTAGCAAGAGCGCGCGGGGCTCGGCATCCCCTTAGCCAGGCTCCGTGCTATCAGCTCCTGGCCGCCTGCGCTGCGGCAGCCCCAGCGGTGGCGCGGCGGACTGCGGCGGCCGCGGCGCTGCCCCGGTGACTGGGCATCGCGCGGCGCGGGAGGCGGGGATGTGGGAGCTGAGGCGCTGGAGGGAGGGAGGGACGGGCGCACCGAGGGAGGGCGGGGGCCTCTCCGGCTAGGGTTTCTTGGCCGCCTCCGAGGATAGAGTTGTCCCCAGTCTCGAGTTCCGGACCATCCTCCCCACCCCCCTCAGGCCGCAGCAGCCAGAGCTGGCCCGTTAATGATTGATGCGGGGGCAAAGGCTGCGCCAGAGACTCAGCGGCGCGTGGCGGTCGCGAGGGCGAGGGTCGACGCCGGGGTTCGAAATCCGACAGCCACGCGTGTGTTCCTGAGGACACTAGAAAGCCACGTTCGCTAGGGGCGGGGAGCTGTGGCCGCGCGGGCGGGGGCGAGGGGGTGGGGTGGGGTGGGGGAGGAGATGGCGCCTGCGGCGCCTCGGGGACAGGCGAGGAGATGCGCTAACATTAAGTCTAGAGGTAGCGAGGGCAGAGACGCTCCGGAAATCGGGGCAGCTTTGAGACCAGGTCCGGATCAGGGTCGTCAGAAACAGGGGTCTGCCTCTCTTTCCCGTGTGTGCGCGCGCGGGAGCGCGCGCAGTTCTCGCTGTGGACACCGCATCGAGCCTTAGTTTATCTTTTCTCCTATAGCGGGCTTATTCAGGTGCGTCATTAACCCCCCTTCTCCCTCGTCCTTGTCTGGTCCAAACGAACCATCCCACAAGTGGCCTCTGGTAGTTCTCACCAACCTTCGGGGGCTCCAGCGCGGTCATCCTCGTGTTCTTGTGTCTTTAACTGGGAATCTTGTTTGGAGCCGGCAGTCTGAGAACTCGGGGCCGGACTGCTCACGACCATGCGATTCAGAGACTAACGATCTGCAGGTTTTCCTAACGAGGGCTTCGTAGCAGAGCTGTGTCTGAGTTGAGGACTTACCAGAGTGGAGGGCGTTCTGGAGAGAGGACTTCAAGGAGGGATGAATCCTAGCATGGATGGGAGACAGTTCGTAGAGACTGGGAGGCCGTGGCTTGGGAAAAGCTTATGCATAATTGACCAGCAGTACCTGGCAGGCTTGGGTGGCTGGAGGCCAGTGTGAAGGAAGACTGAAGAACTGGAAACCAGTTGTGATGCACTGCATGTGAAAATATACCCTTGAGCCTTGTAAAGGCGGGCCAAAAACCTGCCTGCTGTGAAGTGTTTACCATTTCATTTCACAGAAGTTTCTCTTAGTGATGCCCTGGGGGGTATGACTGAGTCTACCTGCAATATAGTGTCATGGCAACAGGAGATAATTCTAAGGGACCAGACACTTTTAAGTGCTTCACAATTGTTAAATCTTTTAGATATTATTATTTTCCCCATTTTTACAGATGAGATGGAGGCACCACGACCATAATACATAACATGCCCAATTGGTAGAAGGGGAGATTTGAACCTATGCAAACTGATTCTGGATCTTATGTATTCAGTACTTAAACCAGAACATCCAACAAACTGCTTTGCTCAAAGAAAATAGGACAGTTTGATTTAGGAAAAAGCTTTCATTTGATAAGCAAAAGGTGATCTTCATCACTACAGCAAATATTGTAAGTAGGTCAAAGAAGATTTACTTAGTAGTGGTTCAAGGAGGACTTAGGTTGTGGATAAAAATGACTTATAATTTAGAAATTATTTAGTATTACAAATGTCTAAAATTACTAAAAGGTAATAGAAACAGTCTCTTTAGAAGTTTCAGCCTTCTATCTGAAAAAACGTTTTCCACTAGTGACTGGCTTAGCAAACTCTTACACAATTAAGCCAAAGGTACACTCGCATCTTATGCCTTTCTGAGCTATCACAAATTCCCGATGAATGGATTTTAAATTAATGATATTTTGCTGTAGTTACTTAACTAGTATTTTGTTTTAGTATTTTCTGTTTCTCCACTTCTAGAGCTTTGTGGTTTTAAAGCCAAACCTAATTTCCTTTCACATGTGGACTGAACACCAGGCTAATTTGTAAAAAGGATTAAGAGTCAGGCATTTATTAATCAGGCCTAGGAATGATAAACCTGAACAGGGCAGACCAGAAAAAAAGTTTTCATATTCTCTTTGTTACTCCACAAATGACCTGAGCTATAATCTGTAAAAAATGTTGATTCTGCAATAATTCCCATATTTGCCAAACTCTTAGTTGCATAATCAGCTCATTTAAATAATTGGGGAAAATATAGTAGAAAGTTCACATCAAGTTAAATAATGTAATTGACTATAAATGAATGTAAAGCTCTAGTTAGAGAAAATAACTTTTATCTTTATGACTAATTGTGATAAGGCTGGCTATAATAAAATATGGTATTATTTAAAACACTCAGTGTTTTATCAAGTCAAAAAATCTGTCACAACCTTTTCACAAGTCTTTTAGGAAGTCATTGACATCTCTGCTTTTCTCCCTTTCCTCATCCATGTCCCAGCCACATGAGGCACCGAACCAGCTGATGCCATGGACTGTGTTCAGGAAAGCTTGCTCCTGGGTGCTGCCCTTACTGTACTGTGACAAATCCAAGTAAAAAGCAACTGAGGAAACAAACCTGACCTAACTTTATATTTTTTTAAAACCCAGCAATATGACTTCTTTAATTACTACCAATCTTTTCATTGGTAGTAATATTTTGTAAGTTTTTTTGAGATATAAAAATGTGTTCTCCAAAAAAAAATGTGTTCTCCAAACCGTATACAGTCTGGGTTTTGTAGTGTGTTTCATCTCCAGGAAACTAACTGCCTCTTGTCAGTGAGAACCATGCTCACGTCCCCTGGGCTTGGCTAAACAGATACAAGCAGCTGACTGGCTGCCATTCCCTGAAGGTGCACTGGGAGATAAAGCATCTCTAAGCCGGTGGCAGTGTTTAGAGGCAGAAACCAGCTAGTTTTCTCCCAATTGAAGGCTTGTTCAACTAAGACCCCAAATGCATTTTGTGTAGTTCTGTGGAGGCCCTGTGCATTCAGGAACTGAGGGGTCCTGGCTGCAAAATACAGTCATAGTCATGTATAGGAAATGGAGCAAACAGGACAAAGCATTTGCCCATATAGTTTGCTTTGGTCATGTTCTTATAGAACAACTATAGGTTTATTTGTGTTTCTCTTTATAGTAATAATAGGAAGCATATATAAAAAATTCCCCAGCAATTTGGATGTTCTCTAATAGGGACAATGTGCTATGTGTAAAACCTGCAGGAAAAAATGCTATAATATTTACAGATAATACACCAGTTTTAGGGGGAAATGAAATTTTTTCTAGTCTCATTTTTAGCCAAATACAACCAACCAACCAAGCAAAAGCCTGTGCTTTATTGCACCCAAGGCTCTGTACAAAGAGGGCTCTGTAAGGTTCAGTCTAAACAAAGTGCTTTCCTTCCCCCCGAATTGAAAACAGCCATCACCTGAATAATATTATCACTCAAACTCTTCCAGGTCAGATGTGGTTTCTACCAGACTATAGGGTCTGAGTTTCCTGATGGTGCAAAACCTCCTGGCAATGGCTTCGGGTGTAACTACGGCAGCCTTTGCGCAAAAGCGCAATCGGAAGGCCAGGTAGGGTCTAGAAGCTGGAGGTGGGAGGCTGAGTTTTTATCTGGCACTATTCCTGCCTGTTTCCTGAGTGGTGACAGGGTTCTCTTTTGTAGAATAGCTAAGGGAGACTTGATAGGATGTTTTTACCTTTTGAGGTTCTACTCAGGTAGTGACAACTCCATACTGCCCTCTCTCCCACCAGTTTACATTGGCTCACTTACATAATTGGGGAAAATATAGTAGAAAGTTCACATCAAGTTAAATAATGTAATTGACTATAAATGAATGTAAAGCTCTAGTTAGATAAAATAACTTTTATCTTTATGACTAATTGTAATAAGGCTGGCTATAATAAAATATGGTATTATTTAAAACACTCAGTGTTTTTTTTTTAAAGATTTTATTTATGTTTAGAGAGGGAAGGGAGGGAGATAGAGAGAGAGAGAAACATCAATGTGAGGTTGCTGGGGGTTATGGCCTGCAACCCAGGCATGTACCCTGGCTGGGAATCGAACCTGGAACACTTTGGTTCCCAGCCCGCGCTCAATCCACTGAGCTACACCAGCCAGGGCTAAATACTCAGTGTTTTTAAAGTCAAAAAAATCTGTCATAACCTTCTTACAAGTCTCTCAAAAGTGGGGTGCACACACAGCCTGTCTTAATAGATCTCTTTCTAAATGTCTGTACTCTGTGAAGGTGTTAAAATGGAAGGTACATTTTATATCACTTAATATGTAGTACATGGAGATAACTTATAATATGCTGGGGCATGGGGTGGGGATAAAAGGGCTGGGATCAAAACCCCACTGACTTCTGCCCCACAGCCCGCCGCTCTTGTTTGTCCAGCCTGCTTCCATCCCCTCTCTGAGATCCGGGATGGGACTTCCTTTTCCTGCCCCTCAGGGTTGTTGGCGAAGAATGTTTTGGGGTCATGACCCATCAGCCAGCAGTCCCTAAGCTCTGACCAGACCTGCCCAAGCCTTCAGCCTCTCCCACAGCTTTCCTGAGCTATCACAGCATTCTCCATTCTGGACCTATTTCTCTCAATTCTGCCCTTTCTGTTTCCTGGCCAGAGCCTGTGTTTTCTTACAACAAAGGCCTCATGTTCACATGTCATATGCATCCTAATTCAGAGAGACCCCTTGGGGAGGAGATTGTCATTGGCTGCTGCTTGCTCTTGGTAGGGAGTTTTAGGCAGTTTCCATTTACAAGTGTGTAAAGTTGATTATTGAAGTCTTGCTCCTCATTGTCTGTTGACAGTTGTGCTTGAGACACAGTGCATTGCCCTCAACACATATTTGCGATTGGGGAAAATCTTTTCAGTCTGTAAGCCTTTAAAAGCTTAGAACTTAGAGTCTTAGAGTCTTAGAATAGAGATGTCACTGACTCCCTTAAGTCATCTAGTGCAACTCTCTTCCCATTTATGATAGTCCTTTCGATTGGTTGATCATATACTGTATTCAGTTACTGGGATGGGCACTTTACATGTATTATCTCTAATTCTCAGACTGCTCTTTGCAAGGTAAATCCACTATCCCCATTTTCAGATAAGAAAACATGCTCAGCCTTGAACATCTCCATTAAAGAAAATTATTACCTCAGATGGCCTCCTCTTCATTTTTAACTTTTAAAAATTGTTGTTCAAGAACTTTGTAAATAGTGAGTACAACTGATGAGAAGAAAAAAAAACACCGCTGCATCTTGAAGCTCTGCTGTGTTACTGAATGACGTCATCGATTGGATCTGGTTAGAAAGTCCCTGGAAAGAACGATGCCAAAAAAGGCAGGTGTTCTTGCAGTATGTGACAGCTGGATATTGATTAGGCATGGCTGGAAGGTACATTTTATATAAAAAGCATTTTCCTGTAAACAAATAACATCTGTTATTACCAGGAGACTTGCCATAGCCTAGATCTCTGTGAAGAGGCAAACAACAGATTCCAAGATTTCATAGATGATTCTTGCACTTAGCATAGTATTATTGATTACTGTAATTGATTAATACAGAAAGGAAAATATGATATCATCACATATAATATCAACAGGAAAGCATCTCCATTATTGAACTCCAGCCTTCAATTAAGCTCACTTGCCATTCATCTCATTTAGGTTTTTTTCTCTTTTTAAAAAAATTAAAACATTTTTCTTGAGGTGTAATTGACACAACATTATATTAGTTTCAGGTACACAACACATTGGTTTATTTGTATGTAGTGAGAAATGATCATCACATAGATCTGGTTAATATCTGTCACCATATGTACTTTCTTTTTCTTGTTATGACAACTTTTAAGATTTACTCTCCTGGCAGCTTTTAAATATGCAATACAGTATTGTTAACTGTAGTCACCATGCTGTAATTACATTCCTAGCCTTACTTATTT